CACAAGGAACCATTCCTCACCACTGTGTCTGGTGTTCAGGTCCCAGAATTCCCCAGCCACAAGGAACCATTCCTCACCACTGTGTCTGGTGTTCAGGTCCCAGAATTCCCCAGCCACAAGGAACCATTCCTCAGCAGTGTCTGGTGTTCAGGTCCCAGAATTCCCCAGCCATAAGGAACCATTCCTCACCACTGTGTCTGGTCTTCAGGTCCCAGAATTCCCCAACCACAAGAAACTATTCCTCACCACTTTTTCTGGACTTCAGGTCCCAGAATTCCCAGCCACCATGGACCATTCCTCATCACTATAAGATGTCTAGACTTCAACTCCCAGAATTCCACAGCCAGCATGTTCATTAGCATGCTGGCTAGAGAATTCTGGGAGTTGAAGTCCGTCTGTCCCCTTAAAGTTGCCAAGGTTGAGAAACACTGAACTAGGGATACAAAGGGGCAGGTGTGGATAGGAGACGCGTGTCCATACTACCCTCTGCTGGGACTACAGCTCCCAGACAGCCTTGCCAGAAGTCATGCGACCTGGACAGTGTTGAGATTTTAATTCCAGGCAGTTTGGCAGCCCAGGTTGGAGATGGCAGGGTTGCAATTCCCTTTAGTCTCAGGTGTGATGATCATGTGCTAGTTTGCCGCCTTCCAATTGTCATTTTGGTGTGTGGTGTGGGCTCCCGCAACCTAACGGAAAGTAGCTTGTCCGATCTGGGCTTATTTTAATATAAACCAGGGGTCTCCAACTTGGTAACTTTAACACTTGTGGACTTTGATTCCCAGAATTCCTCAGCTAGCCATGCTGCCTGGGGAATTCTGGGAGTTGGAAGGCCACAAGTTTTTTTTTTTAAATTGCCAAATTTAGAGACCCCTGGTATGTCGACTCCAGGCCCAGTGTGGCTTATTTTACAAACTCTAGGGAAGCGAACGGTGGCATAATAAAAAGGGTGAATTGGCTTTAAGAGAATCAGGCTTGTAGGAAAAAAACTGGCAAGCATGATCTAATTTAAAAAATAATAATAATAATTACAATTCTTGGGAGAACTATTTAATTCGGTTCGGATCAGACAGCAGAGGGAATCCGTTTCTGGTCCAAACCAGGGGATTCTGTATATATTCATGACCATATAATAAATGGGCCCTTTGGCGGTAAAACAGGAAGTCCCGCCCTTGATTTGGCAGTCAAAAAAAAACAAAACCCAAGGCCAATCAGCTTCTCTGTCCATGCTCAGAGGACCTCTCTCCACCTGGGGCCAAGGAACAAAATGACTTCGAATGACATGTGGACCACCAGACTTATTGGCTTTACTCAAACAGAGACACTCACCTCATCCCAACCCCCCCCCAATGGCTCCCATCTTCCCCGTTTTAAGACAAAAGGCAGCCGGATCGATGTGAACCGGCGTGCACAGTCACACACAAAGAAAAATATGGAGGAAAAAGCCACAGCCCACAGTCCCAGCCTGCAGCGAGGGGCGCGTTCAGACGATCATTTCCAACTGCCGGGCGTACTCGATGACTTGCTTGGCCAGCTCCGTGGAGGGGATGGTGGCGTCTTCCGGCTTCTGCTGCTGCCCCGTGAAGCAGTAATGGTTGTTGGAACCCAGGAGCCAGCCGCGCTGGAAAGGGAAGGGAAGCTGGGTGAGCCGAGGGGGTCTGAGGGGTTGTGTGGATGAGCCCAACTCTGCGGCAACTGCAGTTAAGCTCTCGGGGAAATTCATTGCCCATGAGGAAGGGAGGAAAGGGTTGGGAGGATGGGAGGGAGGGAGGGACGAAGAGGGAATGAGGGAATGAGGGAAGGAAGGAAGGAAGGAAGGAAGGAAGGAAGGAAGGGGTTGGCAGGCAGGCAAGAGGGAGACAGTTAGGTGGAGGGAGGAAGGAAGGGTCAAGGAAGGGAGGGGGAAGACAAGGCAAGGGAAGCAGGAGAGAGGGAAAAGGAAGGAAGGAGGAAGGAAGGAGAAAGAAAGGGCAGAAGGAAGAAAGGCAGAGAGAGGGAGGGAGGGAGAAAGAGTTGGGAGAGAGGGAGGGGGAAGACAAGGCAAGGGAAGCAGGAGAGAGG